CTAGTTCTCGTTTGTTCCGATACTTTTTTGTTTCGCTGCATTTGCGTGACGACCGGGGGCAGAAAGGGGTGTGAGCGCATAAATGGCAGACTTGACAGTAATTTTTTTCACCATTTTGCCGTTACATACGTACAAACAGCGCTACACTAGCTTGCGTTGGTTTGTGCGCCAGGAAGTATGGAGCGTTGTGTGTGGCGTTCGAGTAACAAAGTTGCGGCGCTACGATAAGCAATTTTGTATTGATGTAGATTGATTAAGTTAATTGAAATTCAGACAAAGCCATTCAGTAGCTGAAATACCAGAGTAAACTGCTTAATTGATGCAGTAGCAAAAAAAAGCAGAGAAAAAGCAGTGAGAAAGCGAAAAAAGAACTCCTGAGTGTTTGCATCAAAAAGTAATTACCCATTTAATGACTTGCTCACGCTACGCTGAAACAGCGCTATTGAGCGAGAAAGAGAAGTGTTGTTGTGGTTATGTGCCCTGGGTTCCCGTGAATTTTACTTTATATACCATACATATGTCGATATATGTGTATTAAGCTCTAGGCAATCTACTCTTTAATAGTTGTAGTTTCTAAACTATTTAAGCTTGCTTTTTGATTTTTATAAAACATATAAGCGAATTCTGAGGTTTTTAGAAAACCGTATACTTTTATATTTTTAATATATTGTAGGTATGTTAATTAGTTAAATGTGCTCTCAATAAGGAATAGTTTAACGGACGACTTCTGCAAATGTGTATAGAAGAGGGTGAGATGGAATGATCTAGGAAATTTCGCTTCTGCGAGCTAGCCTGAGATTGAAGTATCACGATAGATACACTTTTAGAGACCCTAGCTAAGTAGCTGAGATTGATACTAACTTCCTTAAAAAATGTGTGGTAAACTCAAAATGCTTTGTGAATTTATGAGGACTTGGTGAACCCTTTTTAGAAGTTTTTATCTATCACAAAAGACCAAAGATCACAAAGGTACATGTGAGATCCAGCGCTACCTTTGGCATAAGTATCAACCCTGCAACCACTAATATGTGTGTTGTAACAGAAAACTCACTGAAGGGCTATAGTCTACGTTAGTTAGAAGATAGCACTTACAAGTACACTCTTACTCTCTCACTTTTGTGAACTTGATGGATAGAGATTGAGTTTTAATTACTTCTCGCCATTCAGCATGCATTCAGCTTTCGAAAGATTGATGTCTTTCTTGGGAACTTTGCTTGTGAGGTCCACTAAGTGCCATATATAGGACAAGACAAGCATGTCTTGAAGGCGAAATGCTCCCAAATTGCAAATTAGATTAACTAGCTTTAAAGAAAAATATAATAAATGGCAAACATTAAGCTTCAACTTACTGTAAACCAGTTTTCAGACCGATTTACAATTTGTGGTTTGCAAGGAAGGTAGCACTATTTGCAACACGACACAATAGTTCTTAGTAAAAAGAAGAAAAAGATTCTATACATACGTATACATACAACGTCATTAACATTTAAGTAAATTTTTTTAAAGCATTCTACATTTAATAAATATTTTTTTTTTTTAGAATTTATAATTAGTTAACTTTCATTAGAACTAACTTAAAACTGCTTGCTTGTACATAAATAATGAAATAAACTTACTATTACTTACAATACTCAAGCTTATTTGCTTAGCACGCTTACCAAACCGGTACTCCGTGACGTATAAGTAACTTGAAAAGCGCAACTTTGTATTATAATACATTCACACAGAAACACACACACACATACAATTGCATGCAGCAATAACTTAGAAAAGGTATAGTAATAAATAAAGAGACAGAAAATCAGTGGTTGCCACTTATTTGAATGGCCATGGCCTGGCTTGCCCCGCACTTTGCGTGCAACGTTGGCAAACCATACATTTTCTGATTAAATAATTTTTACATAAATTGTATGCAAATGGCAACTGCTTTTAAGACTTTGGTTGCCGCATAACTGGTAATTAGCGTTTACACATTTACACATAGAAAAATAATTGTAAAGCGAGTGCAACCAGACTGCGCCGCGCGCGTGTTGTTCTCATTTGCATCTCGAACTCAGTCTGTTTGACCACTGAGTAAACTATGCCTGCTTGTCGACTGGGCGCGGTGCAGTTGCGGTGCAGGTGGGGCGCGCTTAATTTCATTCACCTTTTTTGTTTGCACTCAGATGAAAGCAAAGCTCCTAAATAAACGGTGTAAAAGAACTTGCAATAAAGCTTACGCTTGCACAATAACAAATGCAACAACAAGCAGGCCATGCACACACCGCATTATTTATTTCCCTGCTCCCGTGTTGGACGAGATGAAAGGGGGCCAGGGGGGACTTGGTGTTAGTTGCGTGGTGCCATTTGGTGCGTAATGCGAAGCGGTTGCGTAAGTTTTGTGTGAATTTGCGTTTCCGCGTGGAGTTCAGAGCTCAACCGCTCGAGTTGGTGGGTCGGTAAGCGGCGGAAATGCCTGGATTCTTTTAATGTAAAGTTTCGCGCTTAAGTGAATGCTACTAATTACTTGGAGTTGAGAAGTTTGTTGACGGCACGCAGACAGACAACCGGCCCCAGCGTCTGCGTGAGTTTGTGTTCGCGGTGTAGAGGACTAAAGTGGCGTCAGAAGTTGCAGTTTGCCATTGGTAAGCTGCGGTAAATGCCAGTTAAGTTTGTGAAACTTCTATATAAACTCCTGTTAACAGAAATTGTAGTAATTAGTGTCTGCTTAAAATTTGTATGCTACGTTGCAAGCAGATATATAATAAATAATATAGTGAAATTATGAATGTGTTTCTATTTTGCATATTCAGTGGGCTTGCAATCCAAGCATGACACCGTATATTTAAGCCTTGAAGTTATATAAACAATGCTATGAACAAAAATGCTTTGTGTCTGATCAAAAGCAATAGATTCAGATGTTTATATCAGCGCTCTCCGAGTCAAGGCTTTTATAATTTTTAAGGTAAAACTGTTAATTTAGCGTCTCATATTTTTTTGTCCACTTGTCACATGTTGCGTGTCGCGTTACAGTTCTCTATAATTACAAACATAAAATGATACATTTGTATATTCAAAGCGTATTCTAGTGTAGAATTACAAAAAAAAAATCGATTTTTTTATATTTTCGAAGTTTAACTATATAAGCATATGTCTGCGAGAGCATTTTTGAAAATTTAAATTATCTTAGGAGATATAGACATTTTACAAACTGGTTCGGCTGGGTCTAATCGAACAAAAGAGTTTAGGCGAAACTTTTCGCAAAGACCAGAGTTTTCAATAAGATACCCAAAATTTCTCTGAACTGATTTACTTGAAATTTTCAGAGAATCTTCTTTATAGACCTCTCTCGAGTATAAACTAGCCTAAATTTAAATTTTTAATATTTTTACGATACTAGAAAATAAAAAAAAAATGGTAAACATCTTTTTTTGTTTAAACAATTGCCATTTTGTCAAACAAAAAATTTTTTTTCTTTAAATGCGACATCATTGCAGATTGAAAATCTTGTTTTTTTTTATTTCAGATGACTAGGAAGGTTGAAATCAAGGAAATCTAGGGTATGCTCATGGTTCACTTCATCACTCGTGGTCCGTTTCATCAGCTACCAGTTTTTAAAATTTTTAATTTTTTTTTTAACTTTTTTTTTAAATTTTTTTTAAACTCTTTTTTGTACTCTTGTAACATTAATAAATAACTGATTAAAAAATCGATGGTAAAAATATTGACTGCCCTTTTTTCGACACTTTAAAAATTACCTAAAATTCATGTCTCTAGACTAGAATACCCCCTTAAACTACATGCAAAACAAGAAAAAACTTAACTTCGCTTGCACCGAAGCTATAATACCCTTCACAAATACAAAATGTTCCTTAGAAGAACTTGATTCCGATCGTTCAGCTTGTATGGCAGCTATATGTTATAGTGATCCGATATCAGAAATTCCAACAAATGAGGAGTTTCTTGGTGAGAAACGGTCATATGCTAAATTTTAGATCGATATCTCAAAAACTGAGAGACTAGTTCGCGTTTGTACAGACGGACGGACGGACAGACATACGGATATGGCTAAATCAACTCAGCTCATCATAATGAGCATTTATGTATATATTTGATAGAGTCTCCGACGTCTGGGTCTTACAGACTTTGTGGCGAACTTAATACACCCTGTTTAGGGTGTAACTAGGTTTCATCTAGCTCTACTTGCCTAGTTTTCGACAAAATTTTTCAATTTTATGTATACTTTACTTACTGAACACTTGAGAGAACAGTATATATATATATAACAAAAGCATATAGTAGTATGATCGATATAGACTTTTCTGGATACATTGAAAAGATAGAATTGTTTACTTATTTTTATAAATTTACAATTAAATGCTTACAATCTATAAACAGTTTCACTTTAATCGTGGGTTCATAAAACTACACACTTTTGTTTTTGACCTTTTTTAGAGCAGCTGTATCATACATATACACATAATAGTAAATTATGTTCCACACTAACAACCGAAAGCGGTACATATCTTCCACCAACCAACGTATATCGAAACTCCTTACGTTCTTTTACTTTGTAAGAGTGCTCGATTCGCCGAAACTTATTTTTTACCTAGTGATTTTTGTACTCAATGAATTTTTACTCATTTTGTATGAAATATTTTAACCTTCCATGAACAGTTATTGAAAAAATATAGTTAGAGGATTGAAATTATTTAAAAAGTTGTTTAGATTTTTACTAAAAGCTACCAGCTCTAACTAACAATTGGAGAGAACTGACCTAACTATAAACCGAATTATATTTTGATTATAAAAAAGTAAATTAACATATCTCCTCTTAATAAGTTTACTGGCTATATATCTATACGATCTAATTAAGGCTTAAACAAAAGCTTTACAAAAACGGACACCCTAACTGCCTGTGAAGGCTTATTTCATCACTCTATGCACGCTTATTTCATAATATTCTGCATTCATCGCATTAAACACAAAAAAGATTATCTACAAACTACATATCCACTTACCGCATACTTTTGCGCACATCCTGCGGTTCAGGTGGTCGCGGTCGATGCCTGCAGACGACCACAATACCCGCGACGATAATTGACGTTACAATGACGGCACCTATCGCCACCACGGCGGCCAGTATGAGTAGCTGCGACTGCTGTTTCTCATGTCCATGAGCATTGATGCTCGCCCCCGCCCCAGCCGCCACACCGCTGCCGCTGGCGCTGGCGCTCAAACCGCCACTTGAATGGTGTGTCGTTTCCGCCGGTGTGGGATCCTCGGAGAGTATGGACTCGTCTGCAATAAAATAATTTTGAATGGTAGAAAAAAATTTCAAACAAATTGTATACACATAACCACAAAAAAGTGAAAGTGAATAATTTGCGAACGTAAAAAACAACATTACAATAATGTGGCAATGTGATGTACCATATGTATATTTCTAGGGCGCTCAACAGTGGTGGAAACCACTTGCAAGTTTGCTGGCGAATGTGCGCGCTGTGCAAAATGTAGGGCCACATTAACGCGTACTTAGGTCACAGTTAAATAGATTACATATACACATAACCAACTTACTTAGATGTGTATGTCTATGTCAGTGTGTATATGCATACATATATCGCGCAAAAGTTGAAGGTAGTTGCCATGTACTTCACTTTTCCCCAGCGCGGTACGCGTGAGCACATTTTCCACTCAAGCTGGTGTCGGTGTGTGTGTGTCTGTATGTGTGCGCTCAACGACTTACATTTCAACATACGCCACTAAAGCATATTTGCTCTATATTTGCTTAAAATTAGTTTACTTTAATCTCATTCCAAGCATACTTCCTTTTACATTCATTCCGATAAGCTTCTAGCAATTCATGTGGTTCTAAAATTTACTTCAAAATAAAGAGGTAATTAATTCGTGCCTTTTTAGTTTATATATTTTGCTTTGAATTCAATCATCCATAAAAATCAATTTATACTAGAATAATATATTAGGCTGGTCATATACTCATAATAAAGAGCGTATAGTGAGGTAAATGGTTATGCATAAATTTAGCTATTGTACGCACCCAATGCAGTCGAAAATAAAAAATTTCAGACATTTATCTTTACAAAAAATCATCTAAAAAAATAGAGAATAATGCAAAAGATAATTATTTAGTCCAAGACTTTGCGGTCGAGGCTTTCAGTTTATAAATTATTATAATGAATCAGACAACAACGGTCGGACGAGTTATAAGCAGTTTTATATAAGTTAATAAAAAAAATGTATATTTTAGTCAAAACGTGAATAAAATTTTTAAAGGCGAGAATATATTATATTAAAAACTACATGCCATAAAGCGCTTGCCTGAAATAGAACTAGAAACCTTAACCAAGTCATATACCTAAAGTAAATTGATCTAACAAATTAAGTAATATCAATTGCGCAACACACATTTTAGCAGAGACATACACCTTAATACATATAACCCAACATTTTGAACGTTAAGCTTCAGTAAAAATCAAAAATATTAAAAAAAAAAAAAAAATATGCTTAAATCAAATGTGAATTTTGAATATTGAATTTTTCTTTTAACAAAATTTTCAATTTCAAATTCCGCTCACATTTTTACAAGGAAAAGGTATTTTGCATGAAATGTTACATTTCAATTTTCCTGCAGCTCGCGTTTTACGCTATTCATTGGCAGATTTGTTCCCCTTCATTCAACAATCTCTCTCATTTCACCATTCTTGCAGTTTTTCCACACACTAAACGCTCAAGTTTGTTTGGCTAATAGCTTTCATCCTCCAGCGTAAGCTGCATGTGTATATGTATGTATTCCACTTATACCGTTCCTTACATTATTACATACTTACAATATGCATATGGGTATATGGTTATGTGGGTATGTAGGTATATGGTGATGAAAATTGAAATTAGTTGCCTGAATGTGGGTGTGAAAGCCATAGTTGCCAACATTTACTCACTTAACTGTGCCACACATATTTTCAACGAGTGTATGTGCGTGTGTGTGACGTTGCCTGCGAGCGAGGACCAGAAAGTTTATGACTTTGCAAATGGTTGAGCACCGTGCATCGAATGGACATAAATGCCTCAAAATTGCGCTGCGTCCCCTCACGGTCTAGATATGCTGGGGAAAATAATTTGCCAAGCCATTTCACAATTCTTTAATTTTAACATATTGCTGCAGCGCTTATGATATGAAGTGAGTAGTTTTTTTAAGATCTGGCAGCGCTGAGCACATTTGTGGAATATAAGTGACTTAGCCAATTGCATTTCGTTGGTATTGGGAAATTTATAATGCGATAACTGCGTTTATCAAATTAGAATTATTTGTTTAACTCTAATGGATTTGAAAAGATTTTGGTGATTATGAGTATATTGAAGTTACTGGGATATTTTTAAAATATATTAAAAATTTTAAAAGTTGTTTAGGCTAAAAAAACAGGCAGTTTGCAATTAAAAGTGAAGAATAACAATCTGTTGCTTTACTTTGTTTTTGTTCTTAAAAGCTGCTTTTCCATAAAGGAATTTAACAATTTTATTTTCCAAGGAAAAGGAACTAGAAATTTAAAATTTATATTTTTCAAGAAATGAAAAAGGTAATAATTTTTGTAGATGTCTAAACTAGTAAGAAAGTCTCGGTGCCACGTCCACTGTCTAATTTGGACGCGGCTTCTATAAAGTCATCTCATACCAATATAGAGATAAAATTTATTGCCTCTGGCGTGTTTAGTGCTTGATTTATCGCGCTTTTAGTAGTCTTTAACAGTACCGTTATATGGGGAGTGGGCGGGGTTGTCACCCGACTTCACCCATTTTCACACCGTCGATAGAGATGCTAAAAAAAATTTGTTCCCAGTGAATTTATTATAGCTTCAGTGGTATAGAAGATATGCACATTAAACTTATTAGGGGGCGGGATCACGCCCACTTTAAAACAAATTTAAGCTGCAGATGCCTCTACCTAATGTGATCCTGTATAGTTGTGGAGCTTAGTTATGGCAATTTACTTGTTTTTAATTAATGGCGTTTTGTGGGCGTGGCAGTGGTCCGATTACGCCCATCTGCAATACCAACCGTCTTACGGTACCAAGAAACATGTCTACCAAGTTTTATAAAGATATCTAAATTTTTACTCAAGTTACAGCTTGAACAGACGGGCAGACAGTCACCCGGATTTCAACGACTCTTCATCCTCATCATTTATACATATATAACCCCATATCTAACTCGATTCGTTTTAGGTGATACAAACAACCGTTAGGTGAACAAAACTATTATACTCTGTAGAAACAGGTTGCGAGAGTATAAAAATAAAAATTAGACTTAGATAACTTTGCTATAAAAATTAGCAGCCCTAGTTTATTTAAGATAGATCCAAAAACCCTAAAATTTGGAAATCGCAAAAATATCAGAGAATTTATGAAAATATGCCAAGTTTACCTGATTTTTTAAAGTTTGAATTAAAAATGTATCTACTTGTACAAGTACAATAAAATAATGTTTTGCGTTTTCATGGTTTAGACAACTTAGCAAAGTTGATATTATAAATTATAATAATATATATATAATATAAAACTTATATAATCTAATAAAATGCATATTCATAAAAATCGCTATTAAGAGAATTAACAGTTTTTGACTAAGCTGCCGCCATACTTCTAAATTTGGGGGTCTCCGGCATTACGCAGAAATTTTTTCACATAAGAATTAAGCTTATTTAATGTTTGCATACCACCTTTATTTTCTAGTAAAAAACTTTTCATATCTAAAATTTTTCTCGCAGTTATTTAAATCCGCGAATGTAAAAAACGTAATCATTAATAAATCATATTTATCGGAAGCTTCAATCTTTTCGAATTTCAAACGTCAAAGACAGATTTCAGTCTCTGTTTTACCACAGATTTCAACGAGCTTCCTAGAAAGAACCTTTTATAACGATTATTGGTTTAAGTCGAATTAATGCTTTTTCAAATTCTAAACATTAGCATACGCGTAAACTCCAATAAACACATACTACAATACATAAAACAATCTAACGCATAAAAGCTTCTTATTTCTACACCTCATACTAAACTGCGCTCATTTTCGGGGCTCAAGTGTATCTGAAAGGTTTAAGTTTAAATGATGCACACATGTAAATAATGGTAAAACGAATTGCCATTTAATTTTATTATTTCGTGCATGTTCGAAACTTCATTTCATTGTATGGGTGTGTGTGTTGTGTGTTCGGTTACACTGTTTAATATGCCGATATGCCGGCAATTGTTTTATTGAGCCGCTTATGATTTGCTTAATGTCACCTTTAACCGGCAAAATACTTTCGGAATCACTTAAGCGCCCCCGCCGCTTCGACTCTTTGCTCTCTATCTGCTGGGTCTTTGGCTGCGCTCATTTGCCTCCGATCGAATTTATATTTATGCCGGAGTATCCGCATTTATTTGATATTTAAGCGGTAACGGCATATTGTTTTATGGCCACGTTAAGCAGCAATGCCACATAAATTATAGGAAAATAAATTTAAGATGCGATATCCTACGCCACAAACAACAACAGCACAACGGCAACGCACGTACACAGGCAGGTTCTTATGAGCGGCATTCGCTTTGTTTGTGTCTGCCTGCGTTCGCTGCGGCGCAGGAAAATGACCATAAAATATTACCATCTGAGTCAACTCTACGCACGGCATTAAGCGCCAGAGCGATTTTCGATTCCAACAACGTACATTAATATGCACAATACGCACGCACACATACAGGCTCCAAACTGCGCATACGCTCCTATAACATTGCTGAATTTATATGTGCGTGAATGCGTATGCACCAAATCGGACGCTTGGCATATTGCGTGACTCTTATGTTAATGTACATGTGATTAGAACAACAAGTCAGGGTGCCTCATTGGTGCGAGTGGTAGACTCTCAAATGCCTGTATAAATGCAGAAAAATTACGATTGCCGAAAGTACTTACGCAAAGGAGTGAAGAAAGTAGAAAAAGATGAAAATAACATAAATTTACAACAAGTAAGAAAGGAAGAAGTTCGGGTACAATCGCACAATTCATACTCTTGCAACTTGCAAGGTTCAGAGTCGGGGAAATAACTTCCGGTGTGGCTAAAGTTTATATTAAAAATGTAGCGAAAATGTTCAATTATTGTTCGACGAAATGATGAATGAATACAATCAAAATTTGGTATCATATTAACATATTTTGAAGGTCATAAACTCACTTATTTTCTATATTGACTTACTCAGCGAAAAATCATAGAAACAAAGGCTGATTGGCATAATTTTAACATGGCT